CGGAAAGAATAAACCAGTTTTATTTAAGAAAGGGCTTGTGTCGCTAAAGTTTCGTCGGAACGAATTTACGGAAAATCAATTAACAAACGGAGACGTAACATTTCTTATTGTTGTTCGATATAGATGTTACTTGGTAAATTTCCCCCCTCTATCTTACATCAACTGAACTATTTTAAGCGACTAAATAACGAGTTGAATGTCGTAATTTTGAAAAGAGAAGTAGTATTCCATTAACACTTTCCCGAAACTACGTGACAGTTTGGATTATTCCTTCAACTCCAAACAAATACTGTATTGGACTGTTTTGCAATTCTATTGTACGATGTGTGGTTATCCTTTCAACAGTGTATACCTTAAGTGCAGTATATTGGTTAGCGCATAAACATTGCCATATAAGGTTATTGTGTTGCTTTATGCCTTCACCATTATCGCATAAGTAGACATTAATATGTATTTCCTTAGACACTATCACACAAGGTTATTGGACTGATTTATTCTTTCAACATTTTCGCATAAGTAGACACTATTTCTTTAGTGTATTGTGTTTGATTATAACTTTGACAGAACAGTCTTTAAATGCGCGATAATGAGTTATCTCTTACACTAGGCATAAGTTCACTGATGTAGATGATTCTTTTGTATAAATTCAGTGCGTTGAGTTATTCGTTCAACAGCTACATTAGCTCTGTATTGGGTCATTCCTTTAACATACTACACTAGCACATTGCTAGTTATTTCTGAAACAATGTGCCTCAGCACATTTTGAGTTATTCCTTCATCATGCTTCCTTAGCATGATGTGTTGGGTTGTTTCCTCAACATGCTGTGTTGGATTATTCCTTCAATATGCTGCCTTAAATGCTGTGTTGGGTGTTTCCTCAACATGCTGCTTTACAATGCCGAGTTAGGTTGTTTCCTCAACGTGCTGCCTTACCATACTGTGTTGGGTTATTCCCTCAATGTTGTGCCTTAACATACTGTGTTGGGTTATTCCCTCAATGTTGTGCCTTAGCATACTGTGTTGGGTTATTCATTCAACATGTTACCTTAGCATACTGTGTTGGGTTATTCATTCAACATGCTGCCTTAGCATATTGTGTTTGGTTATTCATTCAACACGCTGTGTTGGGTTATTCCTTCAACATGCTGTGTTGGGTTATTCATTCAACATGCTGCCTTAGCATGCTGTGTTGGGTTATTCATTCAACATGCTGCCTTAGCATGCTGTGTTGGGTTATTCATTCAACATGCTGCGTTAGCATGCTGTGTTGGGTTATTCATTCAACATGCTGCCTTAGCATTTTGTGTTGGGTTATTCATTTAACATGCTGCCTTAGCATGCTGTGTTGGGTTATTCATTTAACATGCTGCCTTAGCATGCTGTGTTGGGTTATTCATTCAACGTGCCGCCTTACCATGCTGTGTTGGTTTTTCCCTCAATGTTGTGCCTTAGCATACTGTGTTGGGTTATTCATTCAACATGTTGCCTTAGCACACTGTGTTGGGTTATTCATTCAACATGCTGCCTTAGCATGCTGTGTTTGGTTATTTATTCAACATGCTGCCTTAGTGTGTTGTGTTGGGTTATTCATTCAACATGCTCCCTTAGTGTGCTGTGTTGGGTTATTCATTCAACATGCTGCCTTAGCATGCTGTGTTGGGTTATTCATTCAACATGCTGCCTTAGCATGCTGTGTTATGTTATTCATTCAACATGCTGCTTTAACACATTGTGTTAGGTTACCTAGCCAATTTTAATGAAAGTGTGAACACTATACTATGGACAGCATGAGTATCAAGCCTTAAAATTATTCCACACTAAAAATTCAAAAATGATAGTCATTTAGAATTGAATTTCATTGTACCTCTTAACTCTGTGATCAAACTTAATTTTAAGACAAACCAAATTTGAAATGTACATTCTTCGTGTGGATAGCATGATCTTTATCTTTCCATCAGTCTACTTTCAAATGTTTTCAAAATAGAGACTAATTATAGTTTTATATCTCCAGCATCTATGGAGGATGATCAGATTTAAAATAAATTTGGGATCTTAAGTGAACATTAAGTGGTATGCTTACCAACATTACATTAAAAATTACAACACACCATCCATCTTCTTCTATATAAATACTTTCTCCTACTGCATTTAGAAACAAACCAATATTTTATACCTCACAAAATTTCCAATTATCATTACTTTTAAATGATTTTTTTCACACATGATGGAAAGCAGCACCACAATGAGCATAGATAACCACTAATTTCATAGAGTCTTTTTCCACCATGTTAAAGGTGCAGTGATGCTATCTGACTATCATAGAACTTCAATACTTTGCAAGTTGTGTCCAGCTCATAATTTAACCAGACAACCACTAGACATATGTTGTGATTATGATCAACAGCTTGAATGATCATTTCCATGTGTCAGTCTGCTGTCTTTATTCAAATCATGACTTCAATAATTTAGGTCCAACATGTAGGCTGAAAGTTTTCACATGGTGAAAGTAAAAGTCTTGGAGGCTAGAAAATGTCATCACCAAGCATTGTTCTTCAGCTGCTGACAGAGATGATTGCCAAATAATATCTTGTTAGTTCTGCATAATCTTTTTGAAGATACAAACCATCTGAGAGAGAGAGCACTGTTTGTCACAACTGGGCATAGTTGTACTCTGCAAGATTAGTTGCAACAGGTCCAACACTCCTCCCAAAAGCACTCAGAAAACTATCATCCATTATTTTTTTGTGGATGTGAGTGTCGACTGAAGACACTGACCTATGACATATTCTTGATTCTTACTGCAATGGCTCTTGGCAACTGATTCTCAGTGAGTTTGTTTGTTTGTTTTTGAACTTCGCGCAAAGCTACACGAGGGCTATCTGCGCTAGCCGTCCCTAATTTAGCAGTGTAAGACTAGAGGGAAGGCAGCTAGTCATCACCACCCACCGCCAACTCTTGGGCTACTCTTTTACCAACAAATACTGGGATTGACCGTCACGTTATAACGCCCCCACGGCTGAAAGGGCGAGCATGTTTGGTGTGACGGGGATTTGAACCCGCGACCCTCAGATTGCGAGTCGAGTGCCTTAACCACCTGGCCATGCCGAGCAATTTAACAAGTAAACATCCCTACAAAGTATGCACACGCTCAGTGGGCTGTTTGTGTTGTGTCCGTTGCGGATATTTAACCACGAATTCTAGTGTTTTTATCCTGTAGAAGTTTGAATAATCAAAAATGCCTTTCTATCAAGTGCTGTGTGTGTGGGGGGGGGGGTGGCCCTTTAGCTTAGTTTCTAAAAAAAAAGATAATATCACAAGCCCTCAGACATACCGACTAGTCAGGAGACACATACACACACAACAAGGAAAACTTATAAAGCTCATCACATCTACGATAGATCTTAAACATATTTAAACTTTAAACTAGACCTATTTAATGCAGCATTACCTGGATTAGGTACCTACCTTAATTATAAATGGAAGTCTGGACCGAAATGATTTTACGCTTAGACAACCTATATAGAACTTGCGGGTTTGTTTTGGGCGTTTCTCACATTTGTCAAATTCTTACCCATTTGAATGCATGGTTACAAAATGTGCATTTATCGATCAATTTAAAATTGACTTGCTTCTTATAGAACAACAACAAAAAATCATATTGCACTCGAAGGGATAAGCATTTTTGCAGTCTTTCAGACTATATGGTAAATTAGAATTAAACAACAACAACACATCAACTAATTAATAAGTGAGTAGATTCACAGACCGAGTATAAATTTCTGTTTGAAAAAAAATGTCTATTCTCTTCTAAATAGCTCTAAACTGACGATCTCCCATTTGTACTATTCTAATAGAATATATCAGCCCATGTTCTTGAACACTCCCTTTTTTGTGTAATCATTTACGAGCTACAGTTGAGAGATCCTCTTTGTGTTTGAAGCGCCCAACATATGTGAGAAACATGAACAAATGATCAGGAACTTTCTCATGTATAAAATAACTAAGATGGTTTTAAGTTGTGCAATGACTTCCGTATCACACACTAAGCTTATAACTAATTTTAGAAATCAAGGTAAAAACAGAGGATTAGGCCTGAATAAAAGAAAAAAAGTACTTTAAAGTGGATTTCTCTAAGACACGGTAACTGTTAAAAGATAAGTACCAGAGAGCTTATAGGGTGTTCACATCGACCCTATTGGCTAATAACGGAACAACAAGAGAAAACTGTAATATGAAATTTATTTTGCACGTATTTATGGTAATTTACATCCCATAATAGATTATTTTTAATGAATCGTCTTGAGGAATTATTTTTCTTCCTCTAGCCTTTTCAACGTCAGACATGATGTGTAACCATGATGGTATTTAATGTTTGATGTGGCATAAGATTCTAAACATTATGCATAATTTGTTTGTTGCAAGATTTTGCTAGCTATTTTGACCACAATAATTAAAAATTCAGGTTGTCGTCACTCCATGGCAAAAATGGAGGTTGGGGAGAGGATGATGTCATCAAAGATGAGGAGGTCATGGTTCTAAAAGTTACCACCATAGGAGCATCGTTAGGGACGCTTGCTATCCCGCCATGACAGGTGGCCTTGATGTCATAGCACAAAATTTTGTCACCAGAGAACGCGTTACTAGGCCGCCATGACATGTGACCATGGTGGGTTATTAGGTACCACAAAGTAGAAAACGTGTTTCTAGACAGCAATGACTCATACAATGCATGTCTCATTATGTCTATAATTAATCACTAATTAATTAAATCGTCCTAAAAAAGGACACTTCACACTAATTCATTAAATCATTTATAATTAAATCAAGTCCTGAAAAAGGATGCTTAACACTAATTCATTTATAATTAATTCGTCCTGAAAAGTACATTACATTTCCTCATGATTAATTAGTCCTATATGACTATACATTCACATGAATTAAAACTAAATCAAACAAAAACAATTTTCAAAGAATAGTGTAACACCCGTTTATCGCTCACCCCCGCTACGTCTGTGCCGCGATATATACCCTTAATGGAAACTGAGTTTCCGATTAAGCCCGATTTAAACTTTTTTTGTTTTGTTTTTCAATGACCGTCGGCCCTTCGGGTATTTTCCTGGTGTTCCTGCGGCCAGATCGTCTCCCTTGACTTTAACCAACGATGTTGAAGAAAGAAAACTACACGTGACGACTGAACTTAGAATGCTAAATTTTTTGTGTGTAAATGATGGCTAATCTTTGAGTTGAAGAAAATCGGATTGTTACTGTGATAATTACAATCGAATTAGCCATTAGCCACGAAAAACAATTATGTGACTCCTATCAAAATATGGAAGACTATGAGTTCGCTACGCTTAAACTGTGGGAAATCTTTAAAAATTAAAACACCGAAGAGCATTAGATAATTTTTGCTGGATAGTGAGATATATATCACTAGAAGATCAATCCACCGAACACTGGATTGTAGGATATCACCGGAAAATCAGTCCATCAAACAAGAAAAGGTATTAACTACTGGATTGTTGTGTATATCATTAGAAGAGCAGTTTACTGAAGGGTAAAAACTAATTACTATTGGATTGTAATGTATCATTAGAAGATCAGTTTACTGAAGAGTAAGATTAATATGTGTTGGATAATGAGATATCACTAAAAAGTCAGTCCACTGAAATGTAAAAACTAATAACTCTTGGATAGTGAGTTATCAATAGAAAATCAGTATACTGAAAAAAAAGAAAAGTTAATAACTATTAAATTGTGGAATATCGCACAGAATCACGTATTATATTTATTTTTTGATTTGTGAGAAATACATTATTGAATAAAATATTGCTAATTGTTTCTTCCCGTCCTTTTTTCGAGAAAGTCAACCTGTTGTTTATTTTTCTAGATAAGGCTCTCATTCATCTGGTATTCATGCTGAGTCTTTGAACTGATATCTCTAGAGGAGATAGAAATGAACGAATGATTCGTAATATTCCTTTTGCAGATATCTAACTAAAACTAAATAACTTTTCTTCGTTGTTGTCATAACTTATTGGCTCTACTCCCATATAAAAACTTGAATGAACAGTATTCGAAATTATTTGTGTCTGACGAGATGGGTTCGAATCTGTGCGATACCACAAAATACTCCATGCATTTCAAGCTGTGGATGCATTAAGGGTGGCGTGGATGGTAGGGTGCTGCTGACTGGCTGTCTTTCTTCTCATAAGTTCAAAATTAGGGACGGCCGCAGGTAGCTTTGCCATAAATATAAATACAATGTATTAAATCTAAGTTTGTATGTTAATTTATTTTATTTTCGTGTGTAAGAAAAATAACATTTTAAGTTATAATTTTAGGAAGGAAAGCTGCGGGACACGGTGACCATGGGAGCTCAGGACACTCCATTGGAGGAGAAAACGGTGACGGTTGTTTATGGCCCAGACCTAGTCAACATTAATTTTATCAACTTTTGTTGTAACCGACGAGAAACTGCTCAGGTTAGAAATATTTACTGTAAGGTTATGGTTAAATGAATGAGAGACATGTTCTCACATAGGGCATAATCTATGTTAATCTTTATCATTTTGGGACATAAAATTCTAAAAGCTGCTTATAAGAGAGAAGATACTTTCAATAGTTGTTTCAATTTATTCCCCCAGTATAGGAAACTTCAAGTGGCAGTATTTATAGAAAACTTTTTGCTAGAATCAGGTTTCGATACAAACGGCTTGAAGTTAACAAAATTAACAAAACTTCGAACTATTGTCTTTATTTTACCATTGCTGCATAAATTTAACCCACTCAGCGCTTTCAGGATTTATTTCGCTCTGTTAAAAAAAAAAGAAAGAAAAAGTTCCCTACCCCATTTATTCGTATATTGAGTTAGAGAATTAATGGCATTGGTCATTGTGTCTTCATCCTGTGGGAGCTATATAAACTATCTAAATGTTTGTAAATTTCGAATAACTTTACATTTAGTCGTTGATTAGAAGAAGAAAAAAAAATGGATTTAACCGTAAATAGTCGCGTGACAAAAAAGATGAAAAATTAATATGACTTAGAATCATGTTAAATCTCAACGTATTAACAGTTTTCACCTAACATCATCTAGTATATAAAGCTTACATTTAAGCGCTTACAAAAGAACTGCCCCCCCCCCCCCCCCACGTGGCACAACGGCATGTCTGCGGACTTACACGTGTTTTTGTAAATATCATAAATTAGAATTGAATAGACCTTATATTTTGAAAAATTATTCTAAGCCAACTGACACAGTCTGACCATTTGCTGTACGTCGTTCACAGTCTGCAATAATTGTATGCCAACTGAAATGTCCCGTCAAATATTGAGAAATAGAATATCGTGAATACATAATTAATGTTTTGTATCATTATGTAAAATAAAAGAACTATGTTTACTGACTTTTAAATTTCAGTGACATACAAAAGCTCGAGTTAAAGTATGTTCGAACTGTTTATTTGGAGTATTAAGTATAGCGTACATACATAGCGACAATGTATTATAATTTAATTTATTTTAATAACATTTTTCTGCCTCTTCTTTCTCGCCATTGATGACGTGTTAAAACAACGAAGTCATCACCCTTCATTTATAGAAACACTGTATGGGTGTGGTCATGTGAAGGTATTTGTATTTCCTTACATTTAAAGTTTAGCTAGTTTGACATCAGTGTCCATACAGAATATGCTACAATGGTTGTCTCATTGACTTTTAAAAGCGAAACAGTAGATGTCTTGCAGAACATTGTCTGTAAGAAGCTATGAACACTAGAAATGTATTCGATACTTTCACAACATTTGTAAACACGAAAGAAGTTTGAAGGTGTGTCTGCCGGTGATCAAGTATCTGATCATGCAAGAAAATTGTACATCGTCAATATGGATCCAATTCATAATTCTGGTAGCCACTGGGTTTGTATTTATATTGGTTGAGAGGAGAAAGGAGAATATTTTGATCCATTAGTACTGCCTTCATAAAATCTCAACAAAAGAAAATCATCAAGAAGAACTGTTGAAGGTAAACTTACAACAATAAAAATACACCAAGGATCGTATTCGTCTGTGTGTGAGTGGAAAAAATTGTATATAATATGTATATTATTGTTCTCGACATGTGTCCAAGAAATTTGGGTCCTCAAAGATTTATGAAAAAAATGGTAAATGTAATTAAATATAGAGCTAATAAATTAGTGTTAATCGTCGTTTTTCAGAACGATTTACGTATAAATGATCAGGAAATGTAAAAGTATGACTAAACTAATTGTTGTAAAGTATGTTTGATTTACATTTATAAACTAAGTTCGTGTGTATTCGTCTCTATGTGGACAATATTGTATATATTATGCTTATTATGGTTGTCAATATGTGTCAGAACACCAATCTAGTAATGATATGTTTGTTCCTGATTTTGTTGTAAAACGTTTTCATCTAAATACGTCTTTCACAGACATGTCTTTTTCTGTAGATCAAATTGGAAAATCTATATTGTGAGAAAATTAATAAATTGTTTAAAAGAAATAATGTCTCCAGATTTTTTTATCATAATCATGTTACCGAAAATCTTTAAAATAATTACTTGATTTATAATTAAAGAGTCAAACAGTAAATTTTAATTATTGCATGATATTTAAACAAACGTCCATTTTAGTATGATTTAAATATAAATGGTCAGGAATTATATAGAACTAATGAATTAGTGTTTTATACCGACTGTGTTAAATGTAGTCACGTTGAGACATATTGATCAAATAAGTATGAATCAGAAAAGAGCGGGAAACTGAAACACCAGCAATATCTCCACATTATAGCTGGATATTTTATTACTGTATATTTTGGTTATTGTGGGAAATAAGTCAAAATGCTGAACATTTTATTTACAATCTATGACTTGTAGAATTTTGTTGTGTTGTGAGTTTTAGTCAAACTCAACTATTTGAAATAGCTACTGCAGTAAAACGATTTAGGGCTATTCTTTAACTTAATTTTATTGTTCAATATATGGGAAAGTTAATGTGAATATGGTTTGCTTTTGGACTACTAAGTTAGCATGTCAAGTTTGGGCTGGATTGGTTAACTCGTTTAGGATGAGATTCGTCCACAGACAGAAAGTTTTCCTTGATATTGGATATTTTCTGCACTGATATGGCCTAATATGTATAGTGCATATGTGAAGAATGCCTGTACCCTCATTTTTATACTCCTATCTGTCTCACTTCACTTGGTACAGCTGAATAAACCGCTTGTTGCATGTTGTAAGATGTTCAAACTGCATAGATTCAGTTAAGATGCTCTGGTGGGACAACGATAGGATTACGGGCTTATAAGGCTAAAATCCAGGGAACAATTCCTAGCGATGGGCAGGGTACACATAGCCCTTTATGTAACTTTGCATTAAATCAACAACAGTGAAGAAACTTTGGTAACTAAATAAATAGTTTATTCCACATTTAACTCTGAAGGAATGACTCTATATTGTTCTGTTGTCAAGTGTATTTGTAACAGGTTTTTACTGTTGCCTAATAAAATAAGAGTAGAAGGTTTATATTTTTCTCCATGCCGTAGGAATGGACTGATGAGCTACTGAAGATGGCTTACAACTTGATGGCAATAAATGCCTCCACCACCACTTTTCTGCGGAAGGCTTACACCAAATTGCACCTTATGACGGATCGGGAAGGAAAGATTCCTGTAAAAAAGTAGGTTGCAAATAACATAGTTCATTATATGTTGGCCCGGTATGGCCAGGTGGTTAAGGCGCTCTACT